TATATACACGCTCCCCATTCGCCCGTGGAGATAAGTTTAGATCAGGCCAAACTCTTTCACCCGGAACCTGTTCGGCTAAAACTGCTCCAAAATAACCACCCAATGATTGAGGGATACCCATGTTTTGCGGAACCTCATTATTGGGAACGTTTTCAGTCTTGACGTACATTTCCAACATTTTTATCACAAGAAGTTTCCGGTGTTCATCCGGAGTCCTCAAAAAATCTGTCAGAATTTCATCGTCTTCGATGTTAAACTCAGCATAACAAGCAACCCCTTGCGGAGTAACAGAATACAGATATCTCCGGGTTACTTTAATATACATTGAACGTTTGCTCACACTCATTTTTTAACATAACAACGATACCAATCTATCGTACTCCATTGTAAATGGCAACTTAACATGACACTATGGAGAACAACTATACCGTACTGAATTATTCTCCGCCACAACCTCACCCCCCCAATATAATGAAACCCTAATTTTTCGCTCTTCAGACATTATGACAAAATGCAAAATAACCTAACGAACAAATATTTCGAAAGACTTGAAGGATGATGAATGGATTTTTACCAAATACTGAAACTCCTTAAATAAGGAAAAACTCAGCCTGGGGGGTACAATTATTTGATGTATAGCGCATCCATAATACGCACTATACCCATATGAATTATTGGTGCGTCAGTTAAGTGCAGATGAATTATTTGCGTTAAAGTGGGGGAATGAGATGTCACGGTTTTTTATATAGGTATAGCGCGTATATATAAGGCGCTATACTATAGCGCCTTATATATGCGTGCTATATCTCCGCCAATTTTAAGTTCAAATATAGTGCGGTTATTCACTACGTTATATCTCAATGGTGCCAATTTTTTTTTTAAACCTATTTGTGTCAACTATACTTTAGTTCCGGACTGAGAAAAATCAGACAGAAACAATTAGTCTATGATTTAACAACTACTACTATTGAGCAACATTAAAAAAATAGCCAAGTCATGGTCAAAGATAAGACGCTAGTGTCTGCTAATGATCTTCCCCAATCAGGCTAAGAGCATTAGCAACATATTATATGAATTTTGTGCTAGTGGCAGACTTAGCCTGTCCGAGGAAATATACAAAAGTAAAGACAATGTACAAACAACCGAAAATATTGGACCAGTTGCATCATACAATACTAAGCACCATTAATTTAACTTTTAGCTTAGCAATACCGACACCAACAAATAACCTTTTTAAACTCGTCACCAGTTCATTAACAACTAAATACTGACTGTGTCATTGTATTTGTATATGCCAAGTTGACACGCAAATTTGTCATTTCTTGCAGGCTTTCAGCCAAGTAAGTTTTTAGTACACAAACCAAATGGATCATCAGAGGAAGGCCCATGGTATAATTCGAATATNGAATTTAAAACAAAAGGACATCATCAAAACTTACACAAATGATCAGTTTTGTCATGTTAGTTAGATAATTATATATTATAGTTTAAGAGTATTTAATGTGATGGTATCTTAACGAACACTTCTTTGTGGACAATATATTTTTGTGTATGTTTCCTCCTAATGCGTTGGTTGTTCTGCCTTAACCAGAACTCTTGTTGTCGATCTTGATATTCCTCTTGAAAGTGCAACATACAGTTGTTCGTACAAGAAAATATATTGCGGTAATATAATCCAATATTTAGGATGTTTGTCCTTGTGCTTTATTTATTATATTTGCAAAACATAGACATACTAAAAATTATTTTCACACAAATTTAAAAGGATATTCTTTAGTTTCGGAAGACGAAACTTGAATTCAGGAATAAGAATATACTTAGAAGCACATTAACCAGTATCATAATTTTTGCATGTATGACGTTATTGTCAAAACTTCTATATACAATTTGTGTGTTATTACATAAGTCATTCGACGTATCTAAGTTTTTCAGTGGCATGGCGGGCATATTTTTCTTCAAAATTAACCTATATACAATAGAAGATCAATTTTAACTTAGTCTATTATATATACGGTGACACTAACATACGTAAGAAATAAGAAACTTGACAACAAACATATATGGTAGAAGGCCATTTGGTACTAAAGTATTTAAGTATTCTTCTTGGTAGTAATTATTGGTATCATTTTCTGCTGAGTCAAAAACTGAAAAATATTTTATTTTTACTATAAAATTTTGCAATCAATCTTTTATTTAGTTGATCAACATATTCATTTATGTTAGCTAAAATATCTTTTTAATTCTATCATGCGATTTGCACAAATTGCGTTTTAATCTTATGATATAAATATTTCTCTTATTAAATGTACTACTATTACCATTGAGATTGATAACCAAGTATTCAGGAAGAACCAAATCATCTTTTATTGGATGCTCTTCTTCGTTTCCGACACGAAGCAATAAGACACTGAATACTGGATCTGTTCTTACTTAATATTTCTTGTCAGTTGAATCTTTTTTGTTTGAGGCCACAACAATAACTTTAGCAAGCTAGCTTTTACAGTCTCTGCTTTTGTCGATTTTGGAACTACCGGTAGTACGTGACAGAACCTCACCTCCCAAACTATTAATTTTTCACCAAACGGTTCATTAATATCCATATCTATAGAACTCCGGAAAATTATTTCTATCGTTTGACACTTAGCCATAATTGCTTCATCCCATATTATCAATTTTGGTTTCCTTATAAATTTAGCATCATTGCTCTGCTTTGATATATTTTTGATGGTTATTTAAGTTGTTTGAAGAGGTATATCAAATCTAGAGTGGGTGGCTTCACAATAAAATCGTTGTTGGTACACCACTTGCTATTATTGCTAACAGTGACATGCCTCTTGATATGATATTTGCAAGTAATACATAACATAAAAATATTATTTTGATTCCGCCGGAGGCATCTACAAAGAATAATCACGTTATACCAGAGGAGACTCTTTATAATATAGTCTTGAAAGCTTGTTCTTGTTTAAGATTTAGCTTTGATTGTACTTCCTCAGATACTTGTGTAGCATTTTGATTCTTAATAATATACTAACCTTTTTACTTTATGTTCTAACGCTTTTTTATGGAATAAATTTATGTACCCTAATTTTTTTTTTTTTAACTTGAATAAGAATTTACTCATGTGATGAATTTAAAAAATAATTGAATTGCATTCTCTTGCTAAATAATTAATTAAAAGATTTAATTATTTAATTTTAACATAAAAAAATAATTTATTCTATGTTGATTCAGATCTTAATATTAGTTCATCTCTTGTTTTGAATATTTAATCTTAATTATAATTTTATCCACCATAAATTTTATTTTCAAAGAGTAAAAGATTGATATGACATTTCACTTTTAGATCTTTATGTTTGTAGAATCATTAGTGGTATTGACTCTTATCAACCATTTTTTTCTCTTTATCACACATTTATATTCTTAAATATTTTCATAGTTATTGTTTAATAATTGGATATTTTTCAACATTACACGAAAAAATGATTAAAAAATTTTATTTGAGCAGGAAAATAGTTCAAATATAATATAAAAATATATTATCGTTGGGGTATTTTTCTCTCAATTTCAACTCTTTATGCAGTCTATTTAATATTACTTTTATTTTTTCTTCGTATTGGACGTTATGGAGTGGTAATGTATTGCCAATACGGAGATTCTTGTAAAATTGATTTTATTAACCATTCCTACATATTTTTAGTAAGAATTTAATAGACAAAATTATATTAATTTTAAAATCTTTAATATTAAAAATTAGCATAGAAGGTATTGGAGTCCAAAAAATAGGTTATTGAAGTTATGTCCTTTCCCTATGAGTTCTTTCGTTTAATATTTTAGGGATATTTTGATATATTAATATTGTATTTATGCTATTATAAAAATAGAGGCTCATTTTTCTGAATGGGTTTGGACAATATAATATATTATCAAATTAAATTAGTAATAGGACATTATAATATGTTTTCAAATTAAATTAGTAATATGAATTTTTAAGAAGTGTATCATAAAAGTAATAGGATTACATGACTAAAGATATTTACTTGTTCAATTTTATATGAATTAGACAGCCCGAAAGTAATTATACTAATAGGATTCCTAATGTAATCATGTAGAATTCCTAACGTGTAGTATAATGTCCTAAAACTGATAGGATTATAATGATAATATCTAGAATTCCGGTTATATCCTTTTATTATGAGTTATTATGCTTAATATTATAAGGTTATTTTTGTAAACCGACATTATATTCATGCTTTTATAATATATATATATATATATATATATATATGCTCTTTATTCTGTACCTCAAATACACAAACCAAATGACTCCACATATTTATTAACCCACACTAGATAATGTACATTTCAAATCCACTGATTATTGTATTGTGCCAAACTAGGATGACAGAAAAGGGACAGTGGGCTACAATATATACTTAATAGTCATGTACAATTAATATTCTAATGAAAAATAATAAGTATTTTAAACAATATATACTTAGATTCGCATCACTTATGAAAGAGAATACTTGATTGGTGGGCTTGTCATGCTTATTCTTGCAAAGGTGGCGTGCAACAATTTCGTATTAACATTATTAGTTGGCATAAATGTATTTAAAGGGAGTTTTGGTGTAATTGATAAAGTTACTGGCATATAACCAGGAGGTCACGGTTTCGAGCCGTGAAAACAACCTCTTATAAAAATATAGGGTACAACTACATACGATAGACCCTTACGGTCCGACCCTTCCCCGTATCCCGCTCATAGAGGGAGCTTAGTGCACCGGACTGTCTAGTTGGCATAAATGTATTAGTTAGGAAAAAAATAATTCTTCAAAAGAGACATCTGATTTCAATAAGCTTCCGATTAGCGGTCGAAGTTTTTAACAAATACGCCGCTGTACAACTGATTATATTTCATTATTTTGGTATTGCGATTACTGAATACTAGTGCTTTAGTAACAAAAACAAAAATTCTCAGGCAAAGTAGATAGAATATATATGTGTCTCAGCTAAACTCGTATTTATTTTAAACATAATTTGTACATCCAAAGTCAAATGAACTCTCTAAAAATCAAATGCAAATATAAAAAAAAAACACTAAACATTTATAGAGAAGGGGTTTTATAGATAAGATAAAGACAAATAAGAGGGAAAAAAACTCCTATTATGCAGTGTTGCCTTTTCTTTTCCATTTTCTGGTTTTCAATTGCAATTATTGGGCATAATTTTTTGCTGAGCACGTCTTGATCTCACCCTCAGAGTGAGTGGATTGTCCATTTCGCAAGAAAGCCTCAGTACCTCAGACAAGTCAACTGGACTGTTATTGTCAATGGGCCCAAAACGGAATTCGTGTAGAAGTGATGCGACCCAAAACGTGACTGTAGTCAAGCCCAGTATCTTACCGGGGCAAGTTCTCCTTCCCGACCCAAATGGTGCAAGCCTCAGATCAGATCCTAAAACCGAGAAGTCCAAAGTCTCAGCTCTATTAACGAACCTTTCGGGCTTGAATTCAAGTGGGTCCGCCCAAACATCTGGATCCCTAGTGATGGCCCACATGTTGACCATAGCGGTGGTCCCAGCCGGCACGTGATATCCATCCACCGTTGTATCTGTAATTGCAAGGCGGGCCCATGAGAGCAGTGGGCCCGGAGGGTGTAACCTTAGTACTTCTTTTATTATCGCCGGTAAATATGTCATCTCCGATACATCGGACTCCGTCACGGCCCGTGATTCTCCGACAATTTTGTCCAATTCGTTTTGAACCTTGGACTGAACTTGAGGATGAATAACCATTCTTGCTAAAATCCACTCTATTAATACTGCTACCGTGTCAGTTCCCCTAAATATCATTTCCTGCAATTGCCATGGAACAAATAGAGGTTAGGTTAATTTTTTATTTTCAATTGTCATTCTTATCTTTAAATCTGTGTATAATTTAATAGAAGTTAGTTCCATTTTGGTGACACTTGATTAATTAATTTTTTGCCCGCGTGTATGTAGTATGTACAAATACTACTATAACATAATGCTCTTTTGTACATAATGTATACTAATATAATGCTCTCGAGTGCAATAACGAATAGTTTCTACAGCTTCTTTTTTTTAATATTCGGAGCTCCCATTTATTCGCCATCATGTTTGTTTGTATTATTAAAAGGAGTAAAAAGAAAAGGAAAAGGCTACTAGTTCCACGTAAGAAGGAAGAGAAATATAAAAGTGGTTGCTTTCAGAACTAGTAGGATTGTGAAATCAGAAATTTAACCTTGAATATATTTTCTGGGTTCGGTTGAATCCAATAGTTGTTCAAACTCTGTATTCGTATTAAAAAATTCAATAAATATGTACAAATCATTAATTTAGAAATCAGTAACTTAAAATGATTATAATCTCGAACATATAACGTTCGAATACTAGCTCCGCCTATGATTAGAGTAGAAATTAATTGCTTATAAATTTTAAGCTAAGTTTGAATTAGAGTAGTAAACTAAAAAAAAAAAAGGTGAGTAACCAAACATGATTGTGACAAAAGTTTATAAATCATCGTGGCATAAAACTTAATTCTAAAATATTTTTAATGCTTACCCAAAGTACGGCGATCATATCCGAGTCTGATAATTTTTCAGAACCTTGAAGAGAAAGCAAAACATGCACAAAATCATGTTCCACATCAGCAGATTGAGCCCTGTGTTGGTCGATAATCCTGCTAACAAACTTGTTCACTTTAGGGACCAACTGAGAACACCTGAGCCGTATTTTTTGTGGGTCCAATTCAGCTAGCCAAGGTAAGTGATCAGACCAGTTGAGCAAACCCAAAAGGTCGTAACCTTCATTTACCAACTTCCCTAACTCCTCTGTTTCTGAGTTAGAACAATCAAGATTATACTTGCGTCCGAAAACAGAGCACATCATGTTGTTTAGAGAAGCCAGTTTCAGGGCATCTCTAACTCGGATTATGTCCCTTCCTCCTAATTGGAACATTGCAACCATTTCTGTAGCAATTTGGGACCTTTGAGCTTGTGAGGCTAATATTTGCTTAGGACAAAAGAGGTGCGCGGCTGCAATTTTTCTAAGGGTTCGCCAATACACACCATAAGGAGCGAAACCTACAGCTCTGTTGAACATTAGTCTGTAAGCTGATTCTTTTACAGGACGATCAGCGAAAACTGAACTGTTCAATATCTCCTTTGCTACGTCTGGATTACATGTGACAATAACTCTTGTTTCGCCCACGCTCAACGACATGAGACGCTTGGCTTGACAGGCTTCGGCCATCGCTGCTATTTTGCGATGTGCCAGACCAGACATGAGGTTCATGCTTCCTATGAAAGGAAATCCCCTAGGACCTGGTATAGGTTTTGATACTTGCAAATGATCAATATTATTGTAATTATTAATATTAAAAGAAGCTAAACCTGCAGAATTTTTCCTCCATTTATATTTTCCCCAAGCAGGACCTCCAGGGTGAGACCAATAAATGATGTTCATGACTAGCCAGAGAATAAGAATGAAAAGAACAAAACATATGGAGTTTATGGAGGTGAAAGATTTGCATTTTGAACCTAATGCAAATATCCAGAGGCTTTCTATGTCTGTTCTCATTTTCTCTTTATTATTAGCTGTGACTTGGGAGGAAAATTTTGATATTGTGCAGAGTATTGAGACAAGTAGAAGAGAGCAACTGATAGCAAGAGTGAGAAAGGTGTTGTATTTGATTTTTGGGGGCATAGAAGAAGAGAGTTTGGCTGGTTTATATAGGGGAGAAATGGGAGGGAAGTGACCATATGACACAAACCATTCTTCTTTTAATTTTAATGTAGTAGGCAGGGGCGAAGCCTTTCCCCGTAAATTTATATATAAATACCTATTGAAATTTTAATAAGTATTAAATTTAAATTTAAAATTTTAACAATATAATTAAGTACAATACTAAAAATCTTAAAAGCTAAATCATTAAATTTTGATCTTGGATCCAACGCATGAGCATATTTTAGCGACATAGTACCTTAATTTTCTCTTGATGTGGGATTAATATAATAAATAGAAACAATAATCCTTAACTAGTTAAAAAAGGTGTATGTTGACATAGTAGACTTGACGCACGATTGCATGACAAAAGAAGAAAGAACAAGAAATTAAGGCGCGTGAGGCACGCTCCAATAACAATAGATTGCGTGCTTACCTGTTATTAAGGATTAAATAAATAGTGATAATCCGTAATTAAGTTAACAGTATTGGAGACTTAGGAATAGTTATTTGTTTGGGTCAATCTCCCCATGAGGTCACCTTGTGTCGGCACTATTCATTCATCCATAAGCCCCTCTAAATTTTTTAATCTAATTTCTGTGCTTTAGTTTCTTGGATATTTAACCAAGTTCTGTCTGGTTTGAGCAACCTATTAATCTTTTAAATGAATGATTGGGGGCTTAATTTGTTACTAAAAATCAGTCTATTTCATGAGCTTTTGATTGACTAATTTTCAACTCAAATTCCATCATTTGGTTGTAAGGTAGCCTGTTTGGCCAAGCTTCTCAAATCAGCTTATTTTGAAAAGTGTTTTTCTCAAAATTATTTTTCAAAAAAGTACTTTTGGTGAGAAGCAGTTTGTGTTTGACTAATTAATTTGAAAAGCACTTTTGAACAGTAATTAGTGTTTGGCCAAACTTTTAAAAACTGCTTCTACCTGTATTTTTCTCAAAAGTGCTTTTCAGAAAAGTGCTTTTGGAGAGAAGCTACTTTTTCTGTTTCTCCAAAATTGCTTCTGCTTCTCCTCAAAAACACTTATTTTCATGCTAAAAGCTTGGCCAAACACCTCAATTTTTGAAAAAAAACACTTTTGGCCCCAAAAGAAGCTTGGCCAAACAGGCTATAAGCAAGTTAATTGCTTGTCTTTTGGATTTATTAAAGTGCATCTCTTACACTCCATGTTTTCGTACGTAAGAGTACATCGTAAGACAATTGATGTAAGCTCAGAAATGAGATCATTTTTGAAAGTATATAAAGTAAGTTAATCATGTTACTTAGGAGGTTTCAAATCTTTAATATCATGAATAACAAGTACCAAGAGGGTTGGAAAGCTTAGAAGCTAAACGAAAAATAAGTTTCGTCGAAAGTCGAAAAGTTTGGAATGTTATAACATGTAATTTGGGGTGAGACTAGGGTTCTTAACATGATAAGGAGATTATTTTATGAGTTATTTTAGTCGTATGATAGTCGTGTGTTACGTTTTGAAGTCAAGCGAGTTGTGGAACAAAAGTTGGCAAAGGTCATTACAAGTTACATTCATAATGTGCTAAATATTAGGTCAAATGTAGCAGAGCTTTTCTCCTATTATACTTGGAATTACAGAATGATCCACAATTGAAGATCTACGAGTCTAGTTTCTAACGCATCCAACCGTTTGTCGATACGACATCGGAGTAGAGAGATATTTGTGTTTTCGCGAGACTGCGCAAGCAGCTCCTAATGGGACCCACTTAGGCGGTGGTCGACCTACTTCACTTTTAAAATGATTTGGACGACCTTTATTTCTCATTTTTCGACCCAACCTCGCCCCTACACTCTAACCCTCCTAAACAGATACCATAAGGGTTTGAAGTAATTACACTATATTTCAACTTCAAAAGTTAGTTATGGTGAAGAACAACACCTATCTGAGGTTGTGTTGTCATTGAGGATAATTGTGGGTTGCGTTTGGCTAAAATTTCAAGTTGTTACTACTGGCTAAGGTGAGTATAACAGCCTACTAATTGTGCTTAAGCTTTCTAGTATGTTGGTTAAGTTGTTAGGATGATAAACTGCAAGATAATACTTGGATTAGCTTGAGATGTTGTTGTTCTTGATGGATTGATTTGAAAGTTGCTCTTATGAACTTTAAGTGGCTGGAAATTACGAAAAATAAGTTGGCTATGATATTGTTAGTATGATTATGTTGGTTTACATGTTAATCTTGTTGAGGAAATTGGTAACTTGAAAAGAAATGGCTATAAAGCACTTGGAAGTTGTCCACAATGATATTATCTTGTGTTAGGCTATTTCGGGTAACTTTGAAATTGAGTACAAGGTTGAAAATCCTTTAAAAGGTATTGGTTATTATATTAGATATATTACTAAGTTCAAGAATGAATGATAATGGGGTTGAAAGGTGCTACTGGGATTCAATCTAAGCTTGCCGCTCGTCGTGATATGTTGATGACTTGTTAATGAAATATTTTGTACCCTATTGTTGATGTTGTTCTTATTATATTGCTCTGATTGTTATTGTTGGTATATGGTATTAGAGGAGGCCCTTGTTACAAGGGAGCTGTTGCCCAAATTTACATAAACGAGCTACTAGTTTAAGTTGCGGACTTAGCCTTTACTCAGCACTGATTTTGAATCTCCTTATGCTATGGAGATTGAGTTGAGTTGTTTGAAGAATTACTTGGAAGGTATTAAGGACTCAACGAAGTTAAGGTATGTTAAGGCTATCCCGTATTTCTTTTTGGCATGATCCATTTGATACAAACAAAACGAGCAAAAGCGAAACTTTCACAAATTACTCTATTCTTAAAAGTACTAGGGGTGTCTATATTCTTGATTCCCCATGTGTCATATTATTAAATCGTATGTTCATGAGTCTTAGAAAATACGTAAGTTGATAAAGTTTATTTCATGATATTAACTGAAGGCATATTGATCTTATGACACCGCGAAAGATCTTATTGACTTACTTCTTATGCATTGCATTCATTTATACATGTACATTGACCCATAACCATATAGCATTATATACGCGTATATTATATGTATATGGGGTATGCGGAAAAGTTATGGCGTTATATACACACCACCACTTGATCAGCTGGTATACGTTGATGATTTTGGCCACAGAGGCCGAGATGATATGATGGGATGCCCTCAGAGGCTTGATGATATTATGTACGCATATACCTATGCATGATATGACATTTATACGCATATGCATGACATTATAAATCTTTCATGATTCATAGAGCTATTCAGAGTTACAGGTTGAGTCCTTTACTCCATGTTTCTTTCATGTCTTTTATATATTGCTTTTCATGCCTTACATACTTGGTACTTTATTTGTACTAACGTCCCTTTTGCCTGGGGAAGCTGTATTTCATGCCTGCAGGTCCCGATAGACAGATTGACAGTCCTCCTAGTAGGCTATCAGCTCAACGGAAGGTGTTAGTGCACTCCACTTGCTCCGGAGTTGCCTATTTGGTCAGTATGCTTTAGACATGTATAGGTTGGTATGGCGGGGCCATGTCCCGACCTTTATGACGTTTATATACTCTTAGAGGCTTGTAGACAAAGGTCATGTATAGGGATACTTCTATGGCCTTGTCGGCCTATGGTTTGAGAGTACAAATGATCATGCCGGCCTTATAGACCCGTATATCATATTTATAAGTTTATATATCATGTTGGGTCGTCCTATGTCGAGTATTCCCTTATGTTTTATTCTGGTTATCTCATGACGGCCCTTCTGGCCCAATTACCCATGATGGTATGATAAGTAATATATGTTACATTGGTACTCGATTGAGTAAGGCACCGGATGCCGTCAATAGGTGTAATTACACAACCTAGTTTATTATTATAGGAACCACGCGGGTATATATAACTATTGTGTTGTTTATTAAAATTTTCTAAATCTCATATGTTTGATGGTCTAATTTGACAATTTTCAAAACAACTTCATTGAACTTTGTATGTTATGTTATAGCCACATATAACAGGAGTAGTAGGTAGAGATCATTTAGTAGAATATTGAATTCAGAGCATATTGACTGACGTGCTAGCGGAATATTAGCCGGATATACCTTTCACAATTGTTTGACGCAAAGCGATTTTAATGTGCTTATTTTTTCGGTTCAATTTATGCATTTCGTCTTTTATTTTCAAAAAGTATCTTAGTTTGATAAGTTTTCTTTAGCAAATTAACTTATTAGCAATGTCGTAGTATTTTTTAAAAGGGCAACGACCAAAAATATTCTTAACATGGTGTGGTATTATATTTTTTTTCCAAAAGACATCATAATATTAAGAGTATCCAACTGGTTATAAATAATTTTTTTTTTTTTTAATATAGAAATTTGTACAAATACCCAATAAAAAATAATTATATATATCCGTATTCACTCAAACAATGTGGTCTAGAAAATTGGTATATAAGGGAGTTGAATACCTCATCTGCCTATGAGTTGCTAGTTTTAGCTATGAAGTAATTGAGCCATGTTTATAAAATGGAACAAATGCAATGGATAGTAGCAGTACTATTAGTACATCCAATAATTGTACTTTAGCATGAGGAAGGAAGGGAGTTAGCGCGTGAAAACAATGGGCAGCATCAGCTGGGATGATCAAGTTGGAGCAGTAAACAATGAGAAGACAAGAAAGGCCAAAGGGGTGTGGGTGTTACTGTGGCGTGATGTTGTCGGGGCATATATTAAAGCTATTAGGTGGCCGAGAAAGCACATGAACAAGAAACGCTAGCTCTACTTATACATGCAGATACAGATACAGATGTTGCAGTCGTGCATTTAGTGGCTCGCAGATACTGCCCATGAGATCAAATCCAGAGAAAGAGAGAGCTCCGATCGAGGCTGCAGGTACCCCTATTATCAATGTTGTTGGACTGTACCGGTCGGTATGGCGACGGTGGTGTTTGGTGTGGGTGGCCAAATACAAACAAAATAACCCCCTGTCCTCACTCCCTGAGCCATCTTTGTTGTAA